TCCCAGTACTAAAGATCGTATCAATGATAATAATGATGAAAAGAAATCAGTTGTAGTTAAGATACTTAGTTTAAAAGAGAAAGCTGTTTCAAGACTGCTACAGGGATGAGGAAGAAACCATACCTGTTTTTTACAAGACTGTTAGTATGGCCAGATAACTGTTCTTGTTATGGAAGATACTGATATGGAAGAAAGAAGTCTGGCATTTGAATTATGGTTAGAGAGAAAGCTTAACATTTTCCTGCAAAGTATCCTTAAAATTTCAAGGAATTATGTCAATCCAGTTCATCTTACGCACTGGGCAGCTCCCAAAGGTTATCCCAGAAAAGGATCATAGGACTCTGGCCTGGTGGTAGTGGTGATAATAGTAGTAGCAGGTGGTGGTGGTGTAAATACTACTGTGGTAGTATTTTACTTCTGTTTGTGCAATTACTGACAACCACAGTTATCAGAACTCACAATTCCTTATCTGCAATCTGAAACTCAAAGAAATAAAAATTATCTTTGTAGCTACTTTAGCATAAAACCTAACCTATGGCAAAACCCAACTTGAACTTAGGTGATACAAAATCTTGATCCCACTTACCTGTGCTGCTTCGTACCTTCCAATGTAGAACTATTCATATGTTTGATGATGAGGTACAGCCCTAGACCCTGCTGGAGGCTTCATACTATATACAGCATATGCATACCATATTTCAGATTATAAAATTTGAAAATACTGAATTACAAGTCACATCTGTCCTTAGGGCAGGCGTCCCCAAACTACGGTCCGCGGGCCGCATGCGGCCCCCTGAGGCCATTTATCCAGCCACCCGCCGCCCTTCAGGAAGGGGCACCTCTTTCATTGGTGGTCAGTGAGAAGAGCACAGTATGTGGCGGCCCTCCAACGGTCTGAGGGACAGTGAACTGGCCCCCTGTGTAAAAAGTTTGGGGATGCCTGCCCTAAGGGATAAGAGGGTAAGAGATTTGTTTGATAATGCTATAGCTTGGTAAGAATAGGAAAGTCGTAAACACTTGGATGGGAGGTGCTTTGGGTCTATTAGACATGCCAGCTGCTTAGGGAAACAATTAACTTTGAAAGCTCTACATGATGTGAAGAAATTTACTTTAAAGAGTAACTGTTTTTAAGGCACTGCTGGACTCAGGCCTCAGTAGCAGAGCTGAGGTTTTTTTCACTAACATGTCTCATCCATTCTGCTTTGTTTGTTGTAGGAGGCAAGTGGTCAACAGCAGGTGGCTGTCGAGACGTCTAATGACCATTCTCCATATACCTTTCAACCCAATAAGTAACTGTGAGGTATGAAGGAAAGGGCTTCACAACTAGGGGAGCTCAGATCAAGCACAAGCTATAGGGCTTTTTTTTTTTTTAATCAAACTTGTGATTGGGATAACTCAGATTTTATCATGGTACTTTAATCACGGCCAAGGCATCCAGTCTTGTTGAAAAATTAAAATCAATGATTTTATGAATTTAAAATTAATCATTTTGTCCAAAGACAACACTTTATATTAAAGCCAAATGTATGATTTCTCTCCCCACTAAAAAGAAAAAAATAAAAATCTGTTACATCAGAGAACACCAATTACCAAAATTGTCCTATAATACAAGTATCCTGTATTATATTGCCTTAATAATCCTAAACCGGAGGACCTGTAGCATAAGATGTTGCTTAATCTAGCATTACAAGTTTAGTAACATCTTGATTATGAATTTAGATAAATGTCTATATCCTTAGATTGAAAGATAGTTCCAGCTCTCACTTGAACCTCGAATTTCAAAACTTTTCACTTTATCACGCAGTCTGTCATAAAATAGCTGTGAAGAACTTAGAATACCCTGGTTCCTGGATTGCCCTGATGATGATAGGTATTTTTGACTTCATAAAGTCACTTTTTAGAGACCCACATGAATTTGGCTCTAAATTAGAGAAGAAAATATTTTGCAAGTCCTGGATGTGAGAGGCATTGAAAGTAACCATCAATTGTAAAGTTTGCATTTATCAGTCTACCACAAGTGATGAGCATAGCCTTTTTCAAACACATATCTCTGTAAAACAAGAAACAGATTACAGATTTCTGTAGTATATCATACCAAATCTATAAAAGCATTTGTCTTTTATTTTTCTCTTCCAGATGTACAGAAAGGTGTTCTTACATGAAGAAGGGTGTGAAGGCTGAACAATCATGGATTTTTCTGATCAATTGTGCTTTAGGAAATTATTGACAGTTTTGCACAGGTTCTTGAAAACGTTATTTATAATGAAATCAACTAAAACTATTTTTGCTATAAGTTCTATAAGGTGCATAAAACCCTTAAATTCATCTAGTAGCTGTTCCCCCGAACAGGTTTATTTTAGTAAAAAAACAAAAACAAAAAACAAAAACAAAAGATTTTTATCAAATGTTATGATGCAAAAAAAAAAAAAAAAAAAGAAAAAAGAAAAAAAAAGAAAAGAAAACTTCAATTTTCTGGGTATGCACAAAGACCATGAAGACTTATCCAAGTGCATGACCGGATTTTTGTGGTTTTGTTCATTTTGTGTTTAATTTGTGTTTTTTTTTTTTTCCAGCTGTATGAAATGGGCTTTCTGAAGTTTAAATAGTCCGACTTCACCCATGGTGTTCTGTGCTTGCAGTGCGAGTGTTGCTGTAATTCAGTGTTGCTGTCAGTGTCTCTTTTCTTAGCTTTCTGTCTTTCTTTCAACGTAGTGTGAAGTGTCTTATCCTTTTCTATGAATTCCAATTTGCCTTAACTCTTTTGATGCTGTAGCTGTTTCAGTAAAAGTTAGTTCAAACTAATGATGTAGAATGCTTTGACCAAATGAGCTGGTCTATTATGCCTTGTAAAACAGCAGCATAGGGCTTTTAAAAGGTAGTCAATAAAAGTTGCTGAAATTTTGGCTTTTTTAAATATGTAGTAGGTGTTTTTAATGATTTTTCACATAATGTGTAAGGTAGTGATATGCAAGAAGGGAAAAATGTTTTGTGTGAAACACATTTTCTGACTGGGGAACTTTTATTAGGGTAAATTGTTTGTAAGGCTGTACGCCAACAGTTTCCTCTGATAGTTTGACTGATTTAGGATATCTGCTGTATGATGCAATGTAAAGTCTTTTTTGCCTTTTTTCAGGAAAAAAAAAAAAAAACTAACTTGATGTTCTAGATTTAGTGTAGGTAGCGTTGGGGGTTGGGGATGGGGCGGGGGAGGGGAGTCACTGAATGTTTTGTCCTTCCTTTATACTAATGATAGTGCTTTAGAATGAGAATTATGCCTGAAATCTGGCAAACCGAAAAATGTTGCTATTGCAACAAAGTGGCAAAAGCTAAAAGTAAGGATTTATCTTCAAACATAAGCTGAGATATGAATAGAAGCAAAATGATTGGCTACTAGCTCTCTCTCTCTCTCTATTAGGTAAATTTGAAAAATAAAAATGACTTGGCACTTTTAAAGGTAACTTCACCAAAGACCGAAGAGCCAGTAACCAGTAGCTCCAACTTGTCTCAGCATTACATCTTCTGTGCTCTTTATTTTTGCCGGACCAGTTTGCGGTTAGGAGAATGTGCCTTTTTTGTACCTTTGCATTTAGGTTTTATAATTTTAATTGATGTATGGACACACACAAACAAACAAGCATGAAGGAAGATTTGGATCCAAGCAGTGCCACACTTTACATCATCACTACAAGTGTTCAAGTGTAAAGAAAACCAATTTTGAAACTATGAAATTCCTGATTCATAAATACACAGTTATTTCTACTTTAGTACATATAAGATAATTCACTGTTATTAAAGCTCTTTTATTAAGGCAATTGCATATGTTTTAAAAGCAATGGTAAATTAAGTTGTCTTCCAAAACTGTGTACTTGTCTGGTCAGCTGTGTATGATCAGTTATCTACCTCAGAGTCTATTTTCTTTTGTGCTGGGACAGGTTGCTGGCCCTCCCTGTTTCCACAGACCAAATCCTCCTAGCTCAGGAGCTAGGGCTAAGCAGTTATTTCTTTTGAGTATTTTTTAGTTCTTAAATTTTATGCTTGTATTTGATGATAGATGTCAGTGACATTTCATAGTTTCAAAAGTCCTTGCTGCTCTGAGAAGTTTAGATTCTAGTGAAAATTACATAGTCATAAGAGAAATGTGTTTTTGTTTTTGTTTTTGTTTCATTTTTTTTAAAGTTGTGGTATTATTGGTTCTATGCTCCCTGGAATATTACTGCTTTGTGAAAGTCCAGACTGAACGCAGCACCCTCTGTGTACCTAGTACAGTTATAAAGCTGGGTCTCTCACTACTTGATATTTTTGCATTAGTTAAGACAGAAATTTGATAGCTCGGTTAGAGGGGAGGGGAAATCTGCTGCTAGGAATGTCTGAACTAAGTGCCATACTCGTCTGGGTAAGATTTGGGAAACATAACCTCTGTACATAAAAAAAAAAAAAAAAAGTCAGTTAAACATCACATAGTAGACAGCCATTAAATTATAAAAAAAATTAATTTATGAAGAAAGACCTTTTGTACAGATTGAAAAAAAAGATTTTCATAGAGATATCTATATGATCAAGAGAGTTAATTTTTTATTTTTGTTTTACTAGTGCCACAGACTTGCCAGTGGTAACTTATTTGTCCGGTTCAAGATAACTCTGTAGTTTTCTTTCCTAGGACTTGTTGTTAAACGCCAAAAGACATTTTTGAACTGTACATTTGATCAGATTGTTAGCTTTTCTGTTTTATTTCTTTTGAGAACCTTTGAATAAAAAACATCTGAAATTTTATTTTTCCTGTCAATTTTTTTTAAGTAGATTAAGTATATATCAGAATTTCATTTCATTTCTGATCTCTTTCTTCAGCTTAGTAGATTGGTTTGAAAGTGAGTTTGTCAGATACATTATACCCTCAAAATACACTTCCTTGAAAGGAATTGGAAAAACCTTTCCACCCCGCCTCTTGCTGGTTATTTAAATCTGTGTAATGACCAGAGACGTCAACCACTGGCTCAGCACATGTCATCTCAGCAAATGTGCAGCCCAAAATACACCAGTAGTGATCTATTCTTAAAGACCAAAGAACCAGACCCTTTTTCTTCCTCCTTTCTTGCTGCTACCCCTCAACTATTTCATTGCTTGTCAATGCCCAGCAAGGACAGAGTAACAGCAGCCCTCCCACCTGTGGTAGGGAAGCACATGGGCAAGGACCTTAGGATGATCTTATCCATGCCTTTATGACCATGGTCCTCTATCAGAACCACCTGTTTAGCTGTTCCCAGTTGGAGGCTCTCATGCAGCATTCACGGAGGAGTCAGAACTCCCCTTTCCCTCACCTGACTGCTTTACGGGACTTCATATGCAAAATTGCACTTAATACGTGAAATAGGCCCCTTTGCCCCAAGTGGAGTAAACGTTTTAATATGGTGATCCCGTATTTATTTCCTGGCTTCCAGTGACTCTGTCATGGTGATAAAAAGAATGGGCAGGGAAAAGATGCAGTCCATCCCATTTCTGGGTGCCTCCCCTGCAATGTGGATGGTGTGCGGGGTGAATCAGATAAGGGAGGGGTCAGAGCACTTAACTTGCCAGAGCCAAGAAAGCGCTGGCTGTTTCTCGATGGCTGTTTTCAGAGAAGGAAACATTCCTCTGATGCTAACTGGTCCTTCAGAAAGCAGGATGTCAGGGAGGAAAGAAACATGGCCTCTTGAGACAAACCCAGGCTGCTAAGAATGTAAGCTGTGGTCTCATTTTGCGTTCCAGCCACACACCTAAGTGCTCTTTCCTATGACCAAAGGTAGGAGAGATGCAGTTCAGGCTGCTGGGCACCTTCAGTTTGGTTAACCTTATTTTTGTTCTAGCTTCTCGCCCCGGCTGAAGTCCGGGGCCCTCCATCTGGCTGTATTATATACTGAAACCGGTAAACACACTTAGGAGCACCAGTCCACGGAAAAGGGAGATCAAGCCAGTGATGGTGGTTCACAGTTGCCGCTCCCATATAACTAAAGGGGTTGTGGCACCACTGGGGTAAACCCCACCTTGATGAAAGCTTGAGACTGAAGTGGAATTCTGGGGTTGGAAGAGAGGAAAGAGGGTGTGGTAGTCGCTCTGTGGTCTTCGTATTTCCCCCCACTGTAGTGGCTGGGATGTGGAAAGCCAGGGGGTCGGGGTAGAGCTCCGTTTTTCACCCCACTGCCACACCCTTCATGGCCAGTGGCTCTAGGTTTATCCATTAGAGCTGAAATCCCACAAATACTGATTTAAAATTCGCTAGGAAAAAGGCAGTGCCTCCCAGCCTGAGCAGGGGCTCAGTGAATGTTAAGATAGGACTGATTCTATCCTCATTCCATGAGGGTAGCCAAAAAGGAAACGATCCAGCGCCATTGGGACAAGGGTCACCAACCTCTCACCACCGCCCTGCCCCTTCCACAAAAAGCCTGAGATGTCAAGTATGTGGGTGAGGGAGGAGAGCCCAGAGCTCAGGGTTTAAGGAAGGCCAGGCCGTCTCTCCTCTTCAAATAGCAACGCGATGAACTCAGCCCCCTCAGTCCCGGCCGAGAGCCAGACGGCGGTCACGTGGCCGCGGGGTAGCCAGGGCGCGGGGTCCTCCGCACAGCTGAGGGGTGCGCGCCGGGCGAAGGAATTCCAGCCCCGCGAAATGGCTCCAGAGTGTCTCCCGTGACTGGCTCAGGGGTTGCGGAGGGCAAGAGAATGTGTGCGTCTGAACCGCTAGAGGGAGGGCGTTTTGTTCTCGGCCATCAGGCCCCGAGCTCTGCAGGCTGGAAACCCAGCCCTTCGGCCGCAGGAGGAAGGGCCGCAGCCCTTCGGCCGCGGGCAGCAGGAGGCCCCCTAGGCGGAGGTTTAGCCTCTCGGGGCACACAGGCTGGGTCACAGTGTTCTTGAATTTGGGGTTCCTCGTCAGACTGGAGCAGGCCGTCGCCAGTGCTGGCAGCGCCCTCCTTGTGAGCATCGTTGCTCAGACTCGGGAATGACTGCAATGTGACGTTGAAGGTTCAGGGAGGCTGGAGGCTAGGGAGAAAACCACGCGCCTTGTCAGACCACGTGACTCGGCGCGAGAAAGCGATGGCGGGGCTCTGGGCTGCTCAGAATTTAAAACCAGTGGCTTTGAATTAAATACAAACTCTAATACGGTTTTTTGTTTTTTTTTTTAATGCAACACTGAGAGACAGATTTGATGTAGGTTATTCCATTGCTCACACAAGACCCAGACTATAAACCAGACTGCAGGGATTTCCTACCCTCTAGTATCCTTGAAGCCACCTGCCCTACTTGAACACCTCCAGGGGCCATGCACTGCCCACCTCACAGGGCATCAGGTGTCTTTAGGGAACAGCTCTCAAACTTGTTTGCAGAGGAGTCCAACTTGTGGCTTTGAAATTCCCACTTACCGGCCGTAGTGCTGCCAAACCCAGATGCCACCGAATCAGTCAGTCATACTTCAAGTGTGGAAACGTGATCCATGGTTCTGCCCTTCTCTGGGTCGAGCATTCCTTCCAGCTTTAGCTCTTCCGCGTCAGCCCTGATCACTCCACATCATCAGCTAACTTTCCAGATGCACCACAGTTGACTCAGGATAAAACCCAAAACCGGAGGCAGAACTTGGGGCTTCACCTGTCTCCCCTGCCCTGCTGGATCTTGCTATTACAGGTGAAATGGTTTCCTTTTCGACTTCTCAGACATACCACAATTCTTAGAACTTGTAGCCAGTGAAAATCCTTACGTTGCTTTATTTTTTAAATCACAGTCGTTATGCTAAAGACATGCAAGATAATATGAAGTCATTTTAAAATGAAGACATTTTAATGACATGGAAAATGCTTAGGATATAACATGAACAACAAGAGTTGGGAACAGAACCGTAGATACAGTATGATTAAAAGTATGAAACAATATTTAAGTATAAAACATAAGGAGAGGCTGAGAACAGTGGCTTATGCCTGTAATCTCAACACAGGGAAGCCAAGGCCAGAAGATTGATTGAGGCCACAAGTTTGAGACCAGCCTGGGCAATATAGCAAGACTCATCTCTACAAGAAGATTTTAAAAATTAGCCAAGTGTGGTGGCACACACTTGTAGTCCTAGCCACTTGGGAGGCTCAGACAGGATTGCTTGAGCCCAGGAGTTTTAAGTTGCAGTGGCCGCTACGTTCATGCCACTAACTGTAGCCTAGGTGATAGAGATACCCTGTCTCAAAAGTAAATAAATAAATAAATAAATCACAAGGAGAAAGTACTTCAAAATGCATAGCAGGGTAAGAGGATTATAGAAAGTTTGTATTTTCTCATTTATACTTCCCTGAATAGTTTTGCCAGTTTTCAACAATAAAAACATTTTATGATCAAGAAAAGAATTTAACAAAGAATGTTGTCAGATTATCCTGAAATTATGCAAGTTGCTATGCTCATATTCCAACTAAACACATTTGATCGATTTTTTGTGTGTTTAAAAGATAACTGCACCAAACAGTGGCAGACACAAAGATGATATGATGTGGTCCTAGTCCTCAGTGGACAACCTTAAAGAGAGACACAAGTCTATAAGTGACAATATTGTAAGGCGAAGTAAGAAAAGATCTAAATAAAGAGCTCTGGGAGTTCTGTGAGGGGGCAAAGATAATGAAAACATCTCTCCTGAGATTCTCAGAATTTCTGCATTTCCAACTGGTTCCTTTTTTACTGATCGGAATTCACTTGAGAGCAGCCATTTTCCTCACCTATTCCTCTACCTTCTGAGAGATGAAATTGTCAGGCAGACAGAGGAAGTCTTTGATAGCTCTGTCCTTGCCAGAATGAGACTTGAGCAGATATCCAAAGAGTTGACATTGCTGTCACTTCTGCTCTGAAAATATTGTAATGTGTAACAAGAAACTACTGTCTTGTTTTTTTTTAAATCAAGTAGGGTATGGGATACTTTCCAGGTAACGTCGTTTTGACTTCTTTTACCCTTGGTCACATGTTCTCCACACATCAGATTATGGATTTGCAAACACTTGTATAGTTTTCTGATGCCTTCCATATATCTTCAGAAATATTTTATTATTTTCTTCAGGGAAGTCTAAGCAGGAATCCCATTTTACCCACTTTGTAACTCGTGTGCTTTGACACATGCTCAAGACCATAAATATTGTTCCTGGCCTCCTAGCCAGGAACAACAATTTTTTCTAAGAAATACATGAAGGACCTTCCATTATTATTTTCTCCCTAACATTTAGTTCAATTTTATTGGGAAAATTTTGTAGCCTTCAACTTAATTCTTCCAATGATCTGAGTTTTTTGTTTTACAAACCTGTATTTTACCAAAATTTGAGGTAACTTTCAAGGAAACACAATTAATTAGAAATGTAGAAATCTGGAGTTGAGAAATTAACAGGGAAGAGACATAAGGAGTACACAGAATGTAGTTCTATAGGCCAAAAGTTCTCCACCATCACTACAGTTAAACCTTAATAATTATGTTTCCCGGCAGCCAAGGTGAAAAGGGAGAAAAGAACATGCATCTGTGGCTCTGACTGTCGAAAAGAATAAAGCCTGCCAGATTCTCTGGGAAAGATAGGATTTACTAGCTTGTACAGGGGCTGCTACCAGGGGTACTGGGCTGTGCCCACCACATTTCACCACCAATACAATGGCAATTTCCCCAAGCCTGTTTCAGATATGACCCATTCATAAAAGTCAAGGGCAGCACAGCAAGGCACCATTTCGTGATAGTGACTCTGGTAGGCTACAGACTCAAAACAGGTATTCTAAGTCTCATCAAATGTTCGTGGGTGATACACCTCATCCCTTTTGCAGAACCCATTGCTATGATTCTGAAGGACAAAACAGCTCTGCAACAGCAAAAATGTTCCAGATCCTTTTTATTTCCATATTTGGCTCCTCACATGGGAAAAGAGATGCAAGCCACAAGTCCTCCTGCCACTTACTGAGCACGTCATGTTATACCTAAGACGCCAACCAGTTTCTTCCAGTTCACCCAAAGCAGCAGCTCAGAGGTGAGTTGCTGGGCTGGCTGATTTGGACAGTGGTTCCCTCCTCTGGCCAGTGAGTCAGGAAGTAGGCTGATGACCCTTTTCATTACCTAATACTGGAGCCTTCCTAGGTCTCTCACAAATCATAGTCCTTTTCTATTCTGCCGTCAAACGACCCCTGAGAGCCAAAGAGTGAGA